AGATATTTATAAGTCAAATATAATCTGTTAATGTGCTAGAAATCCTCAGTACTTCAGACCTAACTAAAGACATCTTAACGTTTGACTCCATGCTTTGCAGTTACTTAATTTTTTATTGTCTACTCCCCCACCATTTGATTAGTACGACTGTGCCTTTCAGAGGACTAAAACCACACAACAACAGAACTTATCTACAAAACAGAACTTTTACTAAACCATACAAATTACAGATGGAACATTGCATAACATTTTTAAGATGCAGAATGGTCTTATTACCTATTTTAACAAAATTAATACACAATAGGATGCCAATAGCTGCTATTTGAAAAGATATGTTATTTTGGAATAACAATAATTATAGTTATTTGTACAAATAAAGAAAATAACGATTGTAGAGAGAAACAGTATAAAGGTGCATAAAACTTTTATCTTTGCTCGGGCCTCCAGTCAGTCTCTGCTCAGGAAGGCACTGTGGATAAAGAACCTCCAGGCCGTCTGTCCTGTTGTCACCTGAACAGTCTGTTCCAAAAGGATACGAAGGTGGTGGAGTTCAAGGCACCGATGAATATGAGCAGCAGAAGGTAGAGACTCATCATGATAGCAAAATGGTGTCTGAGGAGCCAGGAGGTGCTGCGGGAATGTCTGAAAAAAAACAGACAACACAAAAATCATCTTTTGTTTACCAATAACAAACAAAATGTACTCATTGCCTTTGTGTTGTCCTGTTTTTTCTATTTTTTAGTAAAATATAAATCAGATTTGTAATTGTAGAAAGACTAATGAATGAATTTTGTTTTTAAACGTATTCATTTATTTCTGTTAGTTTCTGAGAAGCTATCTCTCTTCTATATTCCTATTTAAGATTTAAACACAAAAATATTGCAGACATTTTGATTTCTGCCAAAGATTCAAATAATTGCTCACTTAAAAAGTCCAGTCTCTAATGGCAGAAATAGAATATGATATTCACAGGTATGATTTAATTAGCATATAACCACCTGAAAGTAAAATTGTTGTGTTTTCGTTACATTAGAAGGACCCGTTTTGAGTCCACATTGTTGAACCGCCATGTTTCTACAGTACGGACAAACCAAACACTGGCTCTAGATAGGGGTCTTCGTGTTCTTTGTGAGTTTCACTGCTACCGTAGTTTCTCCTACATGCTTGGAAGGCGAGTGGTATCCAGCTGCTAGGTGCTACTAAATCTTACACACTGGTCCTTTAAGTTATATTACAGGGAATGTCATCACCACCACTGATTACAACGCAACGAAGCAATCCTTCATTTAGGTTGAATTACTTTTACATTGTTGAGTGGATTAGAATACAGCATTGTGCTTCCATTGTAAGTGGGGATCAAAAGAAGCAGAGAGGCTATAACAAGGTTGCCGCTCTCGTATGCTGAGAGGACATTTGTGGAACTTTTTGCTGAGCGCCTTTTAAGTCTTTGAGTACTTTGAGGTGGACAGCACTAACCTGTTTTTCAAGGTTCCATTCAGAATGAATGTCAAGTCTCGAGTGTTTGTACATACAAAAGGTGTCATGAAATGAGGCTTAGAAATAATTTTTCAGTATTTACAGCCTTTACCCACAAGTGATCTGCAACACTACATTTGACCTGGGAGACTCTAACCTGGACAGGTGCCTCCTCTGAGAGTAAACAAGCAGGTACTTGACTCGCAAAAGCTGATTGTTGGTGACTACAAAGTACTTCAGCGGCACTTCTCCTCCTTCGCTGTTCTTTGCTCTCGAGCGTTGACGGTCAATAATTTCAGAATCTGAAATGGGAAATAATACGAGGTTTTAATACGAGGGGTTTTAAACATCAGAGTTAGAGGATTTAAATTCTGTGTGTGCAGTGACTCACACGGTTAACGCACCTTTTTTCTTCACCTGGCACTTAACATCCGGGTGATCAATGACTTCACACAAGGCGACACAGCTGAGCAGTGGACCCAGGAGACTTTCTCGCCAGCCGCTGCTGTGAGGACTGTAGAGGACAGCCATGCTGAGGTCACTGGTGAGGTAGGTCCCCTCTCCAAACACTGAGTTCTGCACACAACATGCAGAAAAGGTCGACTTTTTGAGTTTTTGTGTCTGGCAGAAACAACAAAATATCTGATTTCCACTTCATCCTTTAGTAATCCAAACAGTTGCATGAAGTCTTGTATGTTATAATGCATAATACAGGTCTATAAAGGGACTGTCTGTTAGTGCCACATACGACATAAAGCAGAAATAACCTTGTTGAGGTGACAGTGCAGCCCATTGTGAATGATAGAGTGAAAGTTCTCCAGGCGGCTGCCGTGGAATGCGTAGAAGACGTCTCTGCCTGCCCTCGTCTTCTCAAACCTGGCATTCATTTGATCACAGTACTCCAGCTCAAACAGGAAGTCTGGCACAGGCGCCGGAATCCCTTCATTTTCCGTCAGGTTACAAAGTTTGGCGTACTTGTGGAGATCAAAGAAACACACAGTCAAGACAAAAAGTAGTAAAAGACACTGGGGTTTATGTATTTATACTTGTAGAGATGTACCTCCTCTTTCTGTAGCGTCTTCACAGCAAAGCTCTTTGAAGAGAGAATCCAGTGTGTGAGAGCCAGATGATGATCTCCCTCTCTGGGTCGTAGTCTTACCAACTCTCTCACACCCGGCAAAGACTTCACATCTGCCAACTAGAGAAGAAAACAAACTTCTTTTGATCATATTGCCACAACAGGATTTCATAGTAAGTCTAGTATTCCCCTTCACTGATAAAATACTGTACATGTAAGTGAATAAAAGCAGGTTCAATCCAAACACTGGCTGTAGATGGAGCCTTTCGTGTTTTTCACGGCCACAGTACAGATGTGATGTGAGTAATTGTACTCTGCAACTTCAACACTAGATGCCACAAAATCTTACACACTGGTCCTTCAAGTACCTGCCAAACTGAAGTGAACTGTAGTGTCTATGGAGTTTTATTGTGAAGAAACACAATTTTGTTAAATGTACTGTTAATGTTTCTCACCAAAACACATTGTTTATATCTCTGAAAACGTTATCCTTTACCTTTTAAAAGGACCAGGGTTTTACGATATAGTGGCATCTAGCGGTGTAGTGCTGATTGCAACAGGCTCACCTCACCCTTCTGTTGGCGTGAAGGAGAAACTACAGCTGAACTCACAAAAAACATTAAGGTGCCTAATCTAGAAGCCAGTGTTTGGGTTTGTCCATTCTGGGGCCATGTAAAGCCCATGGGCGGGTTCAACGTGGCGGACTCCACAGAAGAGGACCCGCTCCCTCTGTAGATAAGAACGGCTCATTCTAATGTAACAAAAACACTATTCTTATTTTCAGGTGATTATGCACTAATGAAAACATACCTATGAATATTATAATTAATTCCTGCCAATAGATCTTCCTAAATGTTACACACAGGACCTTTAAACCATTTGCAGTACCATTTTAACATTGTTTATATGCATTGTTGTCTTGTTCTTTATCTTTTTCCACCCATCTACCTCTAACAGCACATTACTGCCACCAAGTGTATATGTATTCTGTCAGTGCTTGGCATGTAAGCATTAATACTACAGCAGAGCGTGTTCATATGCTGTTGGCTGTCACTATGTATCTTACCAGCTCCTCAAAGTCCTTATTGTCACCGCTTATGTATCTAGGAGGGAAGGGTCTAAGCAAAGAGTCCCTCTTGTAGCTCTGTGCAGCGGCAACAAACAGGCTGCAGCGGAGGTCTGCTGCTACTGGGTCTCTGTGCAGACAGGAGCACACCAGCTCTCTGACCGCCTCAGGTGGGAGCGGTGGCTGCATTCCCAGCACTGCAGACAGAGGAGATAAGATAACAAACACGTGAGCACGGCCAAAAATTAGGTAAGGTGATAACAGCCCAGCAAAAAAAGTCATGACAACACATATTAGGGGGGAGGTAACAGAAACTGATTAAAAACTGTTGCGTACTGCCAAACTGTGTACTTCCATCAGAATCGGTTTACCCTAATGATTGTTTTAATTAATAAATCTGCTGATGATTAATTTCTCAATAACTTGATCTCAAAAATACAGACAAACAAATGTCCAATGTGTGAAGGAGGTGGATGCATATTGTGGCAGCATGAAATCTTCTCCCTCCTTATCCTCTCTTACTTTGAAGAGAAGACATTTAGGGACAGGGATACAACATTTGGCCTTACACCGAACTCGTTTTGTGCAGGTGAGCCTGCTAGTGAGAGGCCCAACAGGTCAGGTAACTGCTTACGTTACTTTAACCAATAGTTACCGTCTACTGTAACTTTTAATGGCATCAACACAAAAACGGACACCTAAATACAAGAAGTCCCATGTACTGCCTTCTCCTGTGCGGACAACAGAGCTTTATCTGACGGTACAGTGTGGTTCCTGGATTAGGTTAGCTGGAAATGTTGCTCCTCTTAATTAGCAGAGGAGGAAGCTACGTTAGCTACCATTAGCTGAGCTACAACAAGTGAAGAGCTGCTGATATATCCATCGCCGAGCAACGTTACTGCTGCTAAATACGCCATTGTGGGACTCCTGTGGGATCCTCGGTGTACCAGGAATACTCCCCTGCAGCACACAGACATACTTCACCCGAATTACACTAGTTTTATATGATTATTGGTCGTTACCTTCAGTCTCGCTCAACTCATAGCACTGCAGGAAGAGCTAACGTTAGCTGCTGCGTTCAGGTGCCGGAAGAAACTAACGGAATTATGACATTTTCTCGCACGGAATGAAATGTGTAAACACAAACGTGGCAGATGTGTGAGCCAATGGAAAGGGGACCTTGTTAGTAAAATGATAATGAGGAAGAGCACACAGCTGCCTTCCGTAAGTGTTTGGTGTGGATTTTCTTATTTTTATTCTAATAAAGCAACAAGAAAACGGAAGTTTACGAGGAATTTTGAAAGCGGCATTAATAACACTGTACTGATGCTCAGAGAGACATTAAAGATCCACAGCAAAATTTAAAAAGCCCTCTTGTAAAAAAAGGACTCTTTCTTCTGCCCCAACAGCTGTTCAGAACCAGACTGTGTCAGGCACAAAGGCGTCAAAAGTAAAAACCAAACCAAAAGGCCATATTAGATTGTGAAAGAAGGCATAAACATCTATAAACCTATCACACGTACATTGCTGTTTTATATCTTTGTGGTTAAATATGCATCTTCAGAGTGTAGGTTTTTCAACCATGAGACAGATACAGGCAGTGTGTGGTTTTTCTTCAATTTCCCTCTTAGAAATATTTCTATTTGCATCAGGGACAAACAGTGTGGCCTATCCAGTAGCTACAGGGCAAAACATTTGTTATTAATATTAATATTAAGCTTGGGAATAACTGAAATATATTAATTTGTTGAGGGTACAGCTGTCAGATGGGAACAACCCAAATGTTGATCTCAGTAATGGCTTCACTGATTAATGCTTTGGTAATTAGTAAATCCTTAGCAAAGCCACAAAGTTATAAACCCTTTATAAGAAGTGTTCACTACTACCTTAACTCTGAGCACTAATCATTATCCACCTTACACTTACATCTTTACACGTTTTGCATTTATTGAGTTGTTGTCTTTTTGATTTAAAATAGTTGCAATCCATTTCATTTATATTTTACTATTTGATGCTGTATTTTTATGTATTACCTACATTTCTTTGAATTGCTTTTGCATTCATCTACTGCACAAATAAACATACCTTAAAGTTATCATTTGGGCTAAAAAAGCTCAGATATGTGTCATCTATGTGGCATCCTGTTAAATAAGTTGTTTTAGTTGTATCACATATCCTTTCCCCTCAGAGTAGGACTGTAATTCAGCTTCCTATTCTTTGCTCTGTTATTTGTGATAGTAGTACATTTAAGAGTGTGTTACCAGGCAGCCAATCACATGAGCTCCTGTAGCCCAAAGCCTCCCTCTGATTTTCAGCACTGTGGACAGCATCAGAGAGCGTCACCGAGGGGGCGGGGCTTGCTCAGATATGACTGTTTTCTGATTGGTGCGTTCAGGCCAGCAACAAATCCCGTGTTTTCCTGTCGTCCCCGGCCCTGGTCGTGCCCGGGCGGGTAAAGCCAACGGAGGGGGGGGGGGTTGGGGGTCGGCTGGGGGTATGTGCGTAAAGAAAAAGACCTTACGTCACGTGACCGTCGCTTACTCCCAAACCCATCATTTGAGGAATAACCGACTCATATATTTCTGTCTGAACCGCGCCAGATCTGGCTGTTTCCTCCAGTGTGTGTGTGTTTTAATGCCGATGAACCCATAGGATGCTTATATTAAAACCACTGGAAAGATTCTATAGTCTACAATTTACGGACTAAACTGGAGGTAAGGCTTTTTATTTTTTTTATTTTTTTATTTTTTTTAAATCGCTGCATTTCATTCATTGCACTCCCATCTAAAGGGGAGGAGGGGGGGATGAATGTGTTAGAATAAATAAATGGTAGGCTCCAGTAAAAACCTCGACATCTTTATTTTTTTTTTGGGCTCGACCTGCTCGGATGAGGAGGAAGCACCGTGTCGCACAGCCTTGAAGGACGCTTCTCCATCGCTTGTGATCACGATGCACTGTGTCCTACTGCAGCATCACTGCCATCCGCCGAAGGAAACACACATAGGAGACCGTTTTAGCAGCACAGTGCATTCAAAAAAACCGGGATTAGTCTGCATATTCGCGGCAGAGATTGCTACATATTGTGGCAGAAAGATGCCCTTCAGAGCGGCACTCACACATCCACCATCGTATGCGTTCAACTGTGGCTTACAGACAGTCAAATAACGTGGAGGATGGTTGATTATAGCTTACTGGCAGGTTAAAGAACTAAACAAACATATCTACTCTATATAATCCCATCTGTACACTCTGTAGGCCTGTAACACGCATATTTTACCCCCATAGGTTATGATTACATTTTCTGCTAACGCGACAAGGCCACACTGTTTCCCACCGCGCGCATTACACAGCTGTAGTGTGTGATCATGTTTAACATGTTTAAAATCTTCTGTCGATTTAATGAGTGATGCACCAGTGGGTGGACACAGTGGAAGGGCTTGGCACCACCTCTAATGATATCATATGAGGATTTAAAGTCTGTTATGGCAGTGTAGTGTGTGCATGCATCCACAGGAAGGCCTATGGAGGATTGTGGCCTGTTACCTACAAGCAAGGAGAGCAGTGGGAGAGTGATGTTGCATATAATAAAATAGCTCCATTGTTTCTTTGCAGTTTGGTTTTTAAGACCGATTGAAGTCTGTGTGCCTGTTTGCAAGTGGAGGAAAAATACCAACCGGTCATCATGGCAGGTGAGCTTTCCTTTCTGTTCAGTTACTCAGTATGGATGTGGTTTTTAGAGGCAGCACACAAAGCTGGCTGTTAATGTGAAATCTGCCCCATTTATAAAGCCTAAATTGTAATCTTCCACACAACTGCCTTGACTGGATTTCTTTATACATTTTGTTGTGTGGGCAGCTGTGTTGAACTGTGTCTTTGTACCCTAGAAAACAACTTCCCTCCCCTGCCTCGATTCATCCCACTCAAGCCATGTTTCTACCAAGACTTCAACGAGATCCCAGACCCGCATCGCACCATGTGCAAGAGGCTGTACTACCTATGGATCTGTGAGTGTACCTGCAGTAGAAGTTTGCATAGAAAATACATAGAAATAATAATAATAACAACACTTTTTTAATCATAGAGCGCTTTTCATGATACTCAAAGACAAAGTTAAAGTACATGTAAAACATCTTTTACTACAACTCAAGTTTCAGTGTGTATGTTGCTTGCGTCTTGGTTTGTTAACCTGTGCACCGCTTCTGTTTATTCATTCCCTGTCACTTTGTTTTACCCAAAACATTAGGACAGCCAAACATTAAAGACACACTACTGTAGCTGTGAGACCAGATTGACCAGTTTCACTGTCTGGCACAAAGCCAGTCTGATATTTCTTCTTGTGCATCGTTTGAAAATACTAAGTTTGTTTGAAACTTTCTTTTCACTCTGTGTTTTGAGTCTTTAATATTATATATATTTAATATTCACATATTCACATATTTACGAATTACAAAATTACTTTTTTCACTGATTTTGATCAAATGGCAGAAAATGACCATTTGGATTTTCATCTAATATTAAAGCAAAATGCCTGCTTCCTAAAGGTCCAGTGTGTAACATTTAGGAGAATCTATTGGCAGAAATGAAATATAATATTTACAGGTATGTTTTCATTAGTGTATATCACTGAATTAGCATTGTTTGTGTTTTTGTTACCTTAGGATGAGCCACCATGTGGCCACCATAGTTTCTCCTGCACAATTCACAGCCCATTGTTATTCCCAGGTCATCAAATAGAGACGCAAGCGGTGTTCAGTTAGTTGCAATCTGCAACTTCACTGCTAGATGAACTATATCCTACATACTGGTGTACATTTTAAATGTGACGCTGCTTTTCCATTGCACATAATTTAAGAAGGAAAATTTCTGAATTTTGGTCGGACAAAACAAGTTATTTGAAGACATCTGGTGCTCTTTTCACATATTTTCTTCTTTTCACTGTTTTTTGTAAATACATAGACTAAACAACTAATCTATTAATAGAATAATTTGGGTGGATTAATCAATAAAAAAAAGAATAATTAGTTGCATCCCATAATTGATATTGACATGAGCATCATGGTGTCTTTTTTATCATCACATAGGTTCTGCCATTTGAAAACAAGAATGTAAGTCTGGTTAAATGTAGATTAGTTTACACAAAATGTTTTACTTGTAGAGTAGAAACAGTGTGCTGTGTGTGCTAAATAAAGTGTAGCTCCTGATTATATTAAATTATTGTACCTTTAACATAGAACTGAAAGTGTGATGTTGAGTAGTTTATATTGATTCAGTTCTGCTGAATTGTGAGTAATCTGCCTGTAGGACATTCGCCATGTCATATTTTGGTCATCCCTGCTGCTCCTTCTCTGTGATGTTGACAGTGAATAGTGCCACACTGGCTGTTAACCTGATTGGCTGCCTGGCGTGGATGTGCGGAGGTGGTGGAGCGACCAACTTTGGCATGGCCTTCCTGTGGCTCATCCTCTTTACCCCCTGCTCCTACGTGTGCTGGTTCAGGCCCATCTACAAGGCCTTCAAGTGAGCTGGTTTCACCCCGAGCAGACGCCACGTTTGTCCCCGCTGTTCTGTTTCTGACACTTATTGTTCTCTCTGTGCAGGACCGACAGCTCTTTCAACTTTATGGCTTTCTTCTTCGTCTTCATGGCCCAGGTGGTGATCAGTATTATCCAGACTGTTGGCATTCCTGGTTGGGGAGTGTGGTAAGAACCAATTCACATCATTTTCATACACTCATCAAACCATTCAGTGAGTACCCTTTGTGCCCTGTATGCAAGCATCTGCATTTGTTATATGTCATATATATTATTCAGATTTTCCTTAAATTTGTCACCCAAAACAAGGAGTTTGAATAAAAATAAATGATAATTTGATAATCATCTCCAGTGTACTGTGCCATAACAGAAGGTTTTGTTAATAATTTACACAGTACAAGCAAAATTCATTAAAATGTTAGACTATATGGTTATTGTTGTCTGCCAGGTCAATCTGGTTCACGTAGATTGTAGATAAAACCTATACATGAATATAAAGAACAGTTATCAGACTTCTTTAAATGTAGAAAAGCCCTCAAATAGTGTCCAATATTAGTCTGACACTGTGGCCCCACATCAAACAATACTGAGATAACTGTGTGCCCCCCAGAGGGTAAATTTGTTCAAATTCTGGCAAATTGGCTCTATAACTTTGCAGAATTAGCTATTAGCATTTCCTTTTTGTAGGATGCCCTTGGATGTGCAGACAACTGTCACATTATTTTGATACTGAGTTATAAGGCGATATCCTCAGGGAGTGTAAGTCACACTGAATCTTAAAATATATCATATCTTAGTGTTGAGATTCGAGTTAATAATAAGAATAATTAATTGCACCAGCATGCACTTCTCTTTCAACTATATCTTTGCCCCACGTCTCTCCCTCCCAACCACAACCCCTCCCAGCCCTCCTCCCCCATCTTTCCCGGTTTGAAAACCTCTGCCTTAAAGCAATTATTACTAATATTTATAATCTACATGCAGCCATTTTGTGAGTATTGGGCTACTGGATGAGCAACAAGGCATTGTCAGAGGTGAGAGATGTTACTAACTCTTTTGGTGTTCCCATCAGTGGCTGGCTGGCTACCATCACCTTCTTCAGCACCAACATTGGCTCAGCTGTGGTCATGCTGATTCCCACCATCATGTTTACTGCGGTGGCTGTACTATCTTTCATCGCCCTCACCAAGGTAACCAATTTATTTCTGTTTTTCTCAGTAAAAAAAAACTCACCATAAATCAGGATTTTGTGGACTAACCCAATAATCATATAACCGTCATTAACATTAATCTTTCCCATCTTTACGGTTCATCCCATATGACACGAACTAGGCATAATGGAGTCACTGACTTAAAGGGGACCAAGTATTCTCATTTCCAGCTCTATATTCTTACTCTGAGCTCTTTTTCAAAAACATCCTAATTTAACTGATACTGACCCTTTATGCGACCACCCCCCATAGACAAGCCATCTCTCTAAGCCTGCTACTTAAGCTAGCCAGAATAGCAAGCTAACATTAGCCAGATAAAACCACAATATCTCAATATATTTCACAAACTTGGCAGTAATGTTAACTTTGACTGAGACTGTGTTGTGATGGGTGCCGGTCCTTTGTAGAGGTTACCAGGCTCCATTTATAAGCTAACGTTAACTAGTGTTGCACAGGGCAGTGAAGTGGAGAGAGAAGGCACTGGTGAGTGTGCATAAAGGTGGAAAATATGACCCACATCCCTACATAGAAACACATAAATGAGCCCACAGGCAACTGAGAAAGTCAGTGAAATGTCATTTTGTATATGTTCACACATCAGCAATAAAAAGTGATTAATACATAAAAAATTACATTTATTTTTAATAAAATATATGTAACCTTTAAGTATTTAATGCTCAACACACAGATGTTGCACCAATCAAATTACAGTCTGGACAACATCAGCAATACGAAACATTCATGCCACCTGGAGTTCAGTTCGGTCTTTTCCTGAAACACAGTAATGATGGTAAAATACCTTTTGACTTACTTTGCAGGTTCATAACTTCTACCGTGGCAGCGGTGGCAGCCTGGGTAAGGCCCAGGAGGAGTGGGCCTCCGGGGCCTGGAAGAACCCCCACGTCCAGCAGGCAGCTCAGCAGGCGGCAATGGGAGCCGCGCAGGGAGCCGTGCAGCAGAACCAGTACTCAGCAGCTCCCACCTACAACTATGACGACCCGATGTAGGACAGAGAAGGGGGTGGGGGGCGGCTCGCCATGTGGGCGAGATAAAAAAGGGATCAATTAAGAACACAATTCAGAATTAGGTGCCCTTCATTATAACACTGTACAAGCTGAATTCAAACAGAAAAAAGTCATGTTTTGATGGAAGTGTACTTTTATTGAATTCTGACACACGTGGGAGTCAATCATTTAAGTCAGTTCACATTTAAATCAACAGCCAGTTATTAAAAAGCTGTTGTTTTGTTTTTTTAAATCTCTTATGCTGCTCAATTTTAGCTGGTCAGTGTGTGTGTGTTGCTTTCAAATGGAGACACATAACATAGCTAAAACCTATACCCTGAGCTTCATCGGTTTATTCAGGTAGGTTCGTCTGTGTTCAGCAGAGTTACTTCTCTGCCTCTGCCCATGTCACACGTTTTAAACGTCTTTTAATTACCTTTAATGTGTTTTTTTTTATGTACTGTATTCGCTATTTTGTTAAGTGTTTACTTTCATTAGTCCTGGAGGTCACCAAACACTAAAACATTTGCCCCTCAGTTCATGTACTGCAGTTGCTTGACATTCAGGTGACAACTCCAGACTACTTTAATGACTCATTTCCCAGTACAGGAATGGTTCGTCAATTTGGGAAATACGCTTATTGCTTACTTTCTTGGCAAGAGTGAGACAAGACCAGTCTCATGTCTGTACGATAATTATCAAGCATATGATTCTTTTAACGGTGGCCCAGAAGCTCATCGTCTTTTTCTTACTCTGTATGTAAACTTTGTTACTTTTTTTTTTTTGTTGAAAAAAGAAAAAGTTGAACTTGGCCAAAATCCCGTCAACAGAATCAACATTTCAAAATATAGAAAATGTAAAAGATTACAGGATGAAGATGAATAAAAAAGCATGAAATAATTTGTGTCTAACATAATTTAAATCAGAAGACATTTGCTGGAAGCATTATCTAGCGCAAAATATATGAAGAGCGTATTTTCCCAACTCGGTTTTTAAGTTAAAACTTTAAAATATGAAAGAAAAACCCTATGCAGTTCATGTTTTGGTGACCTGATTGTTTTTTCCGACTGATGAGAAGTTGCCCTGCGTCAGTGAGCCTTTCAGTTTGATTCAACCTTTTTTTTTGACATTCTCAGGAAAGGTGTTGATAGCTAGTTTTAAATTCCACCTGTGAAGCCCTTTGAGTGTCAACGTATGGGGCTTTTGTCTCCGTTTATCGCAATTATTCAACCATTCAGGGTGTTTGGTTTCGTCATTACACACCGGTTATGTGTTTAGCAAGTTGATTTCAGTGAAATAAAATTATTATTACATGTTAAAGTGAAGCACATGCAGTATTTAGGGTTGTCATTCGTTGGATAAAACATTCCAGATCAACATTGTACAGGAGAGAAAACCAAAACACTTGGACATACAGTAAATATTAATAATTATTGTTGTAGGTGGTCATAGCATTGTATGAAGTGATGGATGTTTTCCCCCTTTGGCAAATTCTCCCACTTACCCCCTACATGTAAATGCTTAAATGACTACTTGTCTCTGAAGCTCTGGATTTCGGGCCTTAATGTGTCATTCTGTGGCTGTTGGTGTTATTCTATGAGTAGGTGTAATATGATATTTATATAAAAGAAAATAGAATATAAAATAAGCCAATTATTTCTTTATGACGTGAAATTGAAAGAGAGAATATGTGTGCGTAGCCCTTGGGAGGCCCGACAGTGTCATATTGAGTTCAGTGAAAAGATTTTGCCTCGTGTCACTCAAGTCTTCTTCCAGATTCAGTAGATGGGTAATGCAGTAATACAGTATTAGACTTGAAAAAGATGTGAAGATACGTATCTGAATGCTCGTTATTTCAAAAACCTGTGAGTTGTCTTGTCTGATTGTGATGATGTGGTATTCAGTAGATGTTTGTTTTACTTTTTTGTCGTTTTTTTGTACCTTATTTTGTGTATTTTGGATAATGTGTGAATGAAGTTGAAGCACATGTTTGTTGTGTCTTTCCATGGCTGTGGGTAATGGCTGTGAGTTTTTTTTAAACTATAATTTTTCTTGTTTGAACATTTTAAGTAATGTTTGCACTAGGTTACCTGTTGACATCCGTGCAAATTAAATTCACAGTGAATCACAGTGGAGCAATACTAACATAAATATATTAGACAGTAGAATTATTAGGAACAAGTGGGGTCCTGTTGTGCAGGCCTTCAAATATAGACTATGAATAGTAACGAACCGTAACATAAATTGAAAAATGGGCCTATTTTCAAGTTGGACACCACTAGTATAAATTGCATAACATTTTCACCAGCAGATGCGCACACAGTAGTTATGAAGTTTAATCCTGTAAACCGTACTATTCACACGCTCATCTGTCAATAAATGCACAGTTTAGCTGATCAGTTCTACAAATTAAAGTATGCACAAAGGTGAACCAACAAGCTACGTTTCTCTGTGTAGTAATCATGGTCTTTGGTGAATTTTGGATCAGTCCAAACGTTTTGCCATATGTACATACAACACAGATAATGTGAGTATGGGAATAACAGCTGTATAGTTATTGTGTAGCAGGAACTGCAGTGCTGATACTCTGCATTTCATTTTGCTGTATCAAAGCTTCTGAAAGCCATTTCCCATTAACTCCATGTTCCCACATGTACTGTATGTTGTTTGATATGTATTATCATGTACTATATCACAACTAGATATTAATATATAATTACTTGAGGTGAGGTAAATATTTGCCATGGATAAACACATTCGGTAGAAACATGCTCTAATTAGGTGAATGAAGTGTTTGAGGAGGCTGTGTCTCCATGAGTGAAGTAAATGAGGAATACATTTTTGTGTATTACTTTTGTATAATTTGGTCTTACCCTAATAGATATTAAACAGTTCTTGTTGCATTGTGTTTTGTTATTTGATGTGTTTGCATACTGGTCTAAACACACCAGTCAGAATTTCCCATATGTTGCTGTAGACCTAGAAACATGAACCTCTGTATTAGGTGACTTTTAGGTTTAAAAGATGGGAGTTTTCCTTTTAATTTATACCAAATGATGTAGTTCTTTCCAAAAAATGTTTGAGGAAAAAAAACAAAAAACTCAAAATGTTGGTTAAAACCTGACTGAAGAAAAGTCCGATGTGGCTTTGCAGGGCTCTAACACAGGAAACATCACCAATTCAATTTTTTTAATATATTGTTTTGGGGGCGTTTTGCCTTTATTGGATAGGACAGCTTAAGATGGACAGAAAAGGGGGGAGTGAAAGAGGGGATGACATGCAGCGAAGGGCCTCAGGTCAGATCTGAACCCATGGTCGCTGCAGCAAGGACTCAGCCTTGGTACATTCATTTTTAGATGAAACTACGTGATACATTACTCTTTTCAAATGAAGAACAGTTTTACACATAATCAAATCAGTATGAAAGTTGTATCAGCAGCAACTTTTTTTATTCACTTAAAATATCAATATCAGACCAATATATCTACAATCCATTAAGATATCAGTGGAAACTCATTTTATATATTCTACTGACTCAAATAATACACAGGGAAACCAGTAAAACCAGTAAAACAGCAATAATCTTAAAATTCTTTATTCATAAACTTGATGCAAGTTTACAAATTACTGTACATGGTCAAAATTTCTTCAAATGGAAAATGAAAAATAAAATAAAACCAAAGCGAGCCAACAGTGTCAGACTTGATCATCTGTTTGTTGGTGCCAGAAAATGAATTGAAAATTGAGATAAATGAACATTTTCAACACACAGTCCAGTTAGAGAAGCGTGCAAGTCTATTCACCACAGCATGACTATCAAAGTTCAATCATCTCTTAATATCCCCTCTGACCACTTTTGGCGTTTTGGAGGGAGGAGATCATCCAGGTGGATAAAGGCTCTGTAGTGGGGGAGATTGTACTTAAAACCTTCAAAAGTTTAAGGTCCAACTTTTCCTCGGCCCTTTAGAGGTGAGGACACTTCTTGATACCTGATCGTCCCTCCCCCCCTCAGCTATATCCGACATGTAACAACAGGATGTGGAGCAGTGTGGCAAGAGAGAAAACAAAAACAAAAACATTTTCCTGACTTTAAAATACTTATCTTAGAATGTGTTTGTTGTTATAATTGACCTCTTGAGGCACATTGTTGCCAGTTGTGCAAATGTTTTTATCAGGAATATTTAAAAAGAAATACTACAGTGGGTGTTGATGAGCTATTACACGTGGTGGTCATCATGCTACTGCAATCCTGTTAAAATGGCATCTTTCTGTAAATGTCCTTCTTACATTACTTAAATTAAAAGAAACATGTGGCCCGTTATGTTGTAAAGCTCATTACATTTCCCGTTTTTGACATCAGATCAGTGTGTGAGTAAGCCTAATCATCAGTGGTACTGAGCGTTAATCAATCCCAGAAAATAACCCAAAACCCAACATGTACATGTACAGATTCCCCTCCTAAGTATTGTTTGTTACCTGAGTTGCCATTCAAACATACTTCTGCAGACAGTGTTAACAAATAAACTGCAAAAGAGCCAACTGATAGATACAGTGTGTGTCATGTAATATGGGGAACAGGTAGTACTGATGATGTACTACAGTATATTGCATGGTCAAAGTTAAAACGTACAGAGTTTCAGGTCAGTTCTCGTCACGCTATAAATAATCCTCTTCTTGTTACACAACAAAAGCGACACTGAAACACATCTGTGGTATATTGTTGTGGCAGAGGAAGACCCGCAAATAGTGGATGTTTAACCCCTGAGAGGGGATGAATCCAGCTGCACGTGACGTCATGTAACAGGTTAGCAGTTTCAAATCCAAACTGGGGAGGGGCAAACCACTACACTCGATGTTTGTCAGGAAGATATGACGTACATTTTTCCTGCATAACTGGGCAGAATGATAAAAGAAATCAAATCCAAAAACCTTTAATTTATTCCCTCTGTACAACCATTCCCATCACAGTGACTGTAATTAAACGGCGGCAGAGATGTGGCTCCTGTGTGACATGCTGTTAAAGGTTAAGTGTGTAACATTTAGGCGGAAATGCAATCGAACATTCACAGGTATGTTTCCATTGGTGCATCATCCATCAGGCGAAAGGAAGAATTATTGTATTTTCGTTACCTTAGAATGAGCCTTTTATATCTACAGACCGCGGGTTACCTTTTATGGAGTCCGCCATGTTTCTACTGTAGCCCAGGTGGGACAAACGTTGGCTCTAGATAGGGGCGTTTGCTCTGGGGAAGGTGAAACAAGGAAGCCATCTCCAACTTCACCACTAGATGCCACTAAATCCTACACACTGGACCTTAAACCTTACACACACAGGGATTCATTTTGAGCATCAGACTAGCCATCAACCTCTACAGCTTTAATCAATAGAAAGACCAATAACCAAACTGAACACCTGCAGGGCTGATGTGTTAACAGAAATAAGGCAAAAAGAGCTCTTTAGCTTCAACATTAAGTCTGTTAGATCTTCCAAAATGAGGCCATAATGCTCATCGTATCATCTTCTGGTGAAAATATACCTATGCATCCTCTTCCCAAGATATGCACTGTGCAGATTCTGAGATTTTTCATGTCCTTTGGCCTGGTTTCGTTATTAACCACTAGTGGATTTGTTCACCAGTAACAGTTATTAATCTTAGTTTGATAACAGTGTAACATTTTGATTCTGCTTGGCTGAATATTCTTCACACATTTTAAAAAGTAAGAGCTAAAAGATACCGAGTGGTTGGTCGTCTCAATTTAAAGATAAGCTTCCAAAATATGAAAATTGGCTCATTTATTGTCTAATATGCTCAAATAATATTTGCATCTATGTACCAAAGGGGAAGAAAACAACTGCAGTCAATAAAAACAGGTGCAATGAGGTGCCACTTCAAGAGCTTCAGTATCAATCTTCGTTTAAAATTCCCATTTAAAGAGGGGTAACTGACTGTTTGTGAAGCCCACTTTGTCAAAGCAGCTAAAGAAAAAGCATTTTCCCACATTTAAAGGGAGAAAAGTTTTTTTTTTTTTTAAAGACAAATGAGCATATTTAGAAAACAGGGCTAGTGATACCCTCACATCATCATCCTCCTCTCTAAAACAGTGAGGGGAGAAGCCAAGTGATACCAGAATAAAGTCTTTCCTGGAGCGGGGCGAAGGAATACTTGTCAGATGAGCCAGCGAGATGGTTTCCGGGAGAAAGATGATATATCCCCGGTTAAGTCAGAGGGGGAGGGGGGGATATTCCAAAGAAAACAAGATACTTTGACCCAAAGACATGTTCTCAATGCATAGTGGTAGAAGCTCCTTATCCATCCTCTTTAGGTGGTGTGTACCAGCCTGTAAAAACAGAAAGAAAAACCCCTTTGCCAATGGATCCATACCACCGTGTGTCTACTGGGCCCCAATCATTTTAAAAGATTTACTCACCATTCTTTTCATGAATCTGCACAAGGGATTTGTACGACTGTTGTGCTCTGGCAAGATTGTACTGGTTCTGAAAAACAGATAATGTTGTGTTAGATGCACAGAAATTGCTCAGTGTGCAGTAAGAACTACAAAAACAGTAAATAATAAATCCACTTTACGCTTGGTTGGAGAATATTATTGAATGTCATTCCCCATCTTTCTCCCTCCCATAATGCTCTGCCATCTTCCAACTACTGGCTTCCATAAAGACATAAAACAACTGATGTAAATTCAAGTGTAACTATGTCAGTAAACGGTCTGTGAAAATAGCTTCTACAGGTCGGTTCCCTATAGTAACGGCAGCTGAAGTTACACGGAAAGCCAAAGAGCGCTGTCATCGTTCTTCCTGTCACACATAAAGTGACATATTCAGCACATATTACACATTCAGCGGGGCAACAAGCTGTTGTAGAATTTATCTGGCAAGATGAGATCCATAAAGTATCTGTGGCTCGAGTGTATTAAATTGCATCTTTATTTTATCTGGATATTCCCGTCGCTTGATTTTTCTACTGAAACACGACAAGACTGCTACACAGTTAGCGTGTCTAAGGGTATCAGTACACCTCAAAAGTGTTAAATCGTCCAACAGCATCTGAAACCCCCCCCCACACAAACACAAAAAAATTTTGGACAACCACCTGTCCTGTGTACAACCGTGTGCATCATCATGATCATGAAAGCCTTTGAGGAACAACTGTCCCAAAGCCTGCCTGGTTATATTAATAGGACTCATTGCATCTCCAGCCTCTTTTTCTTTCTTTTTTTCCCTCCCTTCCAACGCGGCCGTTTGAAAACATCTAGAAACACTTTTGTCTTTACACGTGGTCGACAGTCATGCTGAGAGCTGACTGGTGACATCAGTTACCTTATTGGCTCCAAACTGCACCCTGGCTTTTCCTTTAACCAGAGTCGCATTTATCTGCATAATGACAGACTCTATGGAATAGGCACTGCTCCAGCCCTGAAAAACAGATAACCATCAATTCTGTTGTTAAAAGTCGAGGGAAATTATGTCATAAGATGTATTAAACTCATTTACATACCTGTTTTGTGAGAAGCTCCATGCACAGGGCCCCTCCTCCTAGAACGTAACTGAAATGAAAACATAAAGATTCAGTATGATGGAAGAGTATTAAATATTATATACCAATGCAGGTCTGAAATTTGATTAAGAAAGTGTTCACTTGACCTTTTGCAAATTTGTTGTGCTTCAAATTAATTTCACAATGATTTGCCTTGTGGGAGAGATTTGGATTTTCGCAAAGAGGCAATTTGAATATAGAAACGGTTGTGAACGCGACTTTTGGATGTGCCAAGAAATTCAAGCAGTAATTTCCAGGCAAATATGTTTATGCCTATTATTAATAACCAGAACCCTTAAACAATCTGTATGATTTGAGATGCATGATGGAATTGTATCACAGTGTTAAAGCATCAAATGAATTGCCAATAAGTCTCGTTCAAATGCATTTGAAAGCCTAATTGCACTTGTTTATGAAAATGCTTTTATTTTACGTTTAAGAGTCAGAGACGATAATTTGCAGCCAGTCATAAGCAAACCACATAGCCTGTACTACGCAGTGTAAAATCGCATAAAATAAAATCTCTGCACCTAAAAGCATAAGGTGATTCATCAAAGGATCTGACATCAGCTTTGTAAGCAAGCAAAGCACAGTATGACCACATCTGCAACAGCTGCAAGCACAACAAATGCTGTGAAACATTTAGTTAGTACTTCACGTGTGTTTTTAAATTTCAATCAATTAATACTGTGAATAAATCTCCCACGTCCAAAATCCATCTCAAAATTGTGCGCACAACAAATGTGGACCAAGTTCCAGTAAGTGAATACTTTCTTCAGAGGATTTAATTTGCAAATTGGGCAGGGGGAGATCACTACACACTCACCCTCCGGAGAGCACAGGTGAGACAACCCGTACAAAAGGTGGGTCAAAAGGAAAATTATCCTGTTATATGAAGAAAAGAAAACCTTGAGTCTCGAGAAAACTCCTCCTCCTCCTCCAAACAGAACAATATGACAAATATTATCACAGGACTCACTTTATAAGAGAAATTGAGCAGAATGTAGTCCACTCCTTCCTTTTCTTTTAAGACCTGCAAATCACTATGTAATGGACTGTCTGGGTCTACCCTGTAATGAAGAACAACACGTTAAATCCAACAGAAAACAAAATAACACAATATTTTAAAGTTGGAAAATTTTAAAAGTAACTGAATGTGACAACTTACGTCCTTAACTTGACATGCCATTCATAAAGGCTGTCACTGACTAGTTCGACTGAATAAATACCTGTGAAATAAGCGACACGAACACAGAGCTTTACTTAAATCTGCTGCTAAGATGTTAAAACGATCAAAGTCACCACTGTAGGGAAATCTGTCATTGTAGTCACCCGTCTTGTAACTCTGTGATCTGTAGATCTCCCTGAGTTCCTTCATTAGGCGGTCTGAGGCTTGCACAGAGCCAGACACTGCACCCTGCAAAACAAATCCCAAAAGGTGAATCAGATGGTTGGGCACCAGAACAAATAAGAAATAGTGTACTAGAGAGGTGGGCAGGGCTACATCAGGGCAATCAGAGAACTCCTGTCCGTTTCTGTTTATCGACAGTGGGCGTTTTCAGCACTTGAAAGGACAACCAACTCTCCTGGAACGTTTCTACTATAAGCCCATAAACCTTTGATAATAAAGCTTCCCTGTGCGGTAATGATACCAGTAAGTTTAAATTTATAGAATCTTAATAAATCAAGCAATTTCAGTCCAGTTTTGCATTAAGTTTGGATCATTACACCAATTACAGTCTGGTGTTTTGTTCCTGATTGCAAAAATGACACGTTGAGAACTGAAATGATTTCATGTTTCCAGCTTCTCCTTAACTGTTAGGGCCGCTGTGTTTCCTGATTATGTTGGACTGCGCTGCAGTGAAAGTTGAGAGAAAACTAAACTTTCTGCTGGACAGCTTAGCATTTTTCCCTGCTGGAGCCCTCTGCGACAGCAGCCACACTGTGTCAGCAATGAAAGGAACGATGAGTCTGCGTTTTAGACGATGCGCTGCTGTTGATCTGAGCATGGCCAAACTGAGTGAAAATGAAATGTGTCAGAATGAATAAAATAGAAGAATTTATGTCCAGTGGCTGTAGTATAAGCCAATGGTGCTGTGAAACTATCCAGGACTAGAGTTGGGTTCCAATAAATACAGGTACTGGTTGGCAAAGATGTACAGATTTGGTAAACTTCAATGTCATTAAATCTCTTATTTAACGCTTTATCTCTACTCACTCATTTTATTAGTAAAGAGCAGAAAAGATTTGATCCATGTATCAAATTTTCAGGTTGTATTCACAGGTTCTGAACATTATTTGGGATGCCACTAAAAGTACCGTGTTTAGGCCTTCTGAGCAAACAAAAGGTGATAACAGCTCTAAATCAACTCTTTGAGCTTTAGTTACTTAAACCTTCAGTTACCTACAAATGTGAAGTATAATAAGATTTGATAAGGTATTTGAAAGGATTTGGATTCAATAAGTGAATCTGATACTGACTTTAGATTAAATAAAATGCTGTTAACTTCCAAAAGAGAATTTACAAGGGAAAGCGGCGCCACTTTGCCTCTATTAAAGTCAACAAAACGCAATAAAGAAAAACATGAACTGAACGAGCACTTACATTCAAGTGATCTTGTCTCTGGTTTTTACGAATCTTCTCCAAGATGGCCAGATTTTCTTTTTCTATCCCGTCATCTTCAGACTTTTTTCCATCTGCTGGCTCTTCTTCTTTCATGTCATAATGGTCCAGGTCTTGGTCCAGGTCAATGTCCTGCTGTCAGTGTATCAATTATGTTTAGAAACGGGACGTAAAATAAATTGGACCATTAAACTATAAATAATACGAACTGTCATAAATACACATAGGTACCTCTCCCATTTCTTCCTCCTCTTCCTCTTCAGATGTCACCTCATCCGGTGGCCCATGCTGTAGTGTGGTGAAACATTGTGAGTTGACAAACACTACGTTTTCAAAGTCAGGAAAGAGACATTGAACGTTACACACGTTTCAGTTCAGTACCTTTCGCTCTTGGGTAATTGGGCCAGCAGGCAGAGGCTGGTCGAGCATTTCTACATCTGGATGTTGCGGCAGGTTGTAAAGCCGACAGAGATCGCAAATGAGGCGCTTCAGCTGCTGAAGAAGCTGCGGGTGAAATCGACAAGATAAAACATGAATAATGACGACCACTGAACACTGAACTATTCTACCAAGTTCCCACTCTTATAGTACTGGAAGTATGTGACATTGACCATGTGAAGCTGGATCCACATCAGCCAACTTACCAATGTGCTGCCTTTCCTCACATCCTCTAAGCGCTCCAACACTTCAGCCAGACTAGGATCATCAGAGTCAACAAACCATATTGGGGGTGTTGAGGGATAAGATTCCTGCAACAGAGGCAACAGTAGGACACAGACATTTAGTTAGTTAGTACAGTTTTTGAATTTGTTGTCACAGCAATTTAAAAGATAGATGAAACCACTTCTTCTAACCAAACAATATTTTCCATGACTTGCTCATTAGTTTTGTTTTTTTGTCCTATGAAAAGTCGTGATTCTTGAACACTTTGCTGTAATTATTTCGTATAATATGCTGCCTGGAGAATACCACTTTCTGTGCCCCTGGAGCCTTTTAAGGCAATTCTCCTTCACAGTCTGTTGCAATTCCTCTATTGTGTTTTTTAAAGTTTTTTTTATATGTTTAAACAAACAAACAAACTGTAGAGCAAGAGAATCTCCATTACTGGATGAAAAGTGGCTGAGTGCTGCGCTGAATGTTAAATTAGACTTTAATACAGTTGTTAAATCGTGTGTGGACTTGAGTTTAGGTGACTGAAGAGGCAAGAGACAATTCTGCATTATAAAAGGGATAATTCTTCATCCCAGAACATTATGGTATGGTATCGGGGAAAGACTACAGCTGGACCATTGTGTAGTCTAGCAGGCAACCTTAAATGATACGTACGGTATGTAATGCATTGGTAATACTGGTCAGGGGTAAAGATCCCATGTTCAAATTCCAGGAAGGAAAACACCCAACATATTTATACTGTGCATCAACAACACAGCTTTATATCCAGAGAATGTGAGTTTAAGTAGCTTCAGTGACAGACTTTGGCTGACGTGAGGCATCACTGATTGTTTCGTGTTTTATGGAGCGTCAGATCTACCGGCGCTTGCAGAAAAATGAAAAATTGGATCCATAACTATGTCTTGTATTTTGAAATGACTTATGTACAAGTAGAAAATTGGTCTTTACAGTAATTCAGACATAAACAAGGCATTAAAAAAAAACTGTTGTTGTCTTGCACCTGTGGAAATGTTTGGAGTTATGTGTCCATTATGTGTCCCTCCTGATGATTGCATGAACGAGGCATAAGTCACTGACATTTGCGTTCAGATAAAAAGCTGCCAGCCATTCAACATGT